TATCCATTTCTATGATAAAATAGTGATGTATGCAGCGTTTTAGGTTAAGTAATACTTTTAATAATTCTTATATCTAGGTAAACCTAGTGGAGTATGCCAGGATACTCTTCATAAGAATCACCTATGTGAGTGTGAACTGGGCCGATTCTATGAGATTTGTGAAGGGCTACAATTCTCTAGAGCATTCATGAAAGACTAGGTTGTTCAGGGCCAGAGAACTAAACTGTGTTTGGTGATATATTGTGTGAGTTCTATTGTCTTAATTTACACAAATGGCTGAACAATTCAAGACATCATGTTCACTGGTTAGCTAGTAAATCTGATAGTGTCTCACAAGGGAAGGTTCGAAGCCATAAGCTACCTATCCTTTGCAGAATATTTTCAATTTCTGTACTCTCTGTAATTAGATCATGTTGTCGCATTTGCTCTCCGTCAAATTCCATTCATGTGGGGGATTGTTGGAATATTGGTTTTTTATAGGCTTATTTTGGGCCAACTTTGAGCCTAATTTTGAGTAAGCTCCAAACGTCTTTTGGGGTGGGTTCGCAAAAGTGACGTGTTCCTTGCCGCGTGGCAAGTCGCACGTTGAAGACGTTCGTCAAAACCATTTATGAGTGAATGGGAACTTGACGTCGTTTTCAGGTTCGTGGAATGGACATTTAAAGAAGTAAAATGTAGGTTTCCTTGAAATGGTTATCCCATATTGGAAACTTAAAAGAACTTATGTGTGTATATGAGTTCTAGGTGGCAACACTTGGATTGGGCCCCAAGGGGCACCCCAAGTTTGTAGATGGGAAGAATTATGGACAAATGGAACCTTGGCTCAAACCACCACACACGCGCGTGAGCCGTCGTCACCGTCTATCCGACCGGCTGACCAAGCCGAGCCGTGTCGGACGCAAGTGTGGGTTGGTTCTAATATTAATTTTTTGGATAAAATTTATTTGAATTTTTTCCAGAAATTCTTAATGAAATTAAATTCCAATTTTGTGCCAAAATTGAAATTAATTTTCTGTCCAAATTTTACCACCATCAGTCCGAAATTCCTAAACAGATTCAAATTGTTTTACAGTTTTAAAATTGCCAGAAACTATTGTAGTTACACAGATTTGAATCTTTATAGTTCGAACAAATCAAACTGTCCAGCAGATTTGTTAAAATTCAAACAGTATCTGTTCAATTCAAAATTACACCTATTCACTTCTTATATGTATCTGTTAAGGTTTGTTTGTTTTGCCTATAAATTGAAGGTTGTTCTAGCAATTTTTGGCATCCGAAAAACATTCTGAAAAATATCATTTTGCTGTCCTGTTTTGTTCCTCTGCATAAATTCTCTTCATATTAATTTTTAGGAAAATTAAAGAGAGTTCAGAACACAAGGTTTTTGTTCACCGAACAAATTGTTTGGAGTGCTACTACAATTTGTGAAGATCATTGTATCCTAGGAGATAGACGCCATTTCTCCGTAAGCAGCATAGCGGGACGAATCTATCTTAAGAACAAAGTGTCACACACTCGATTTGATCTTGTAAATTTTCATTCAATAAATTCTGTAACTTATTTATTTTATATTGTTTGATTTGGTTTCAAATTATTTATTCTACACAGAAGATCGTTCCAACATTATTAATAATAGCTGGACAGAATGGTAGCGTTGTAATTTGACTTGTACAGAGTTGATCGTCATAATTAAAAATAAAAAGATTAAAGTGTGATAATTATGAAAGTACAAGATATTGAGTACAATTAACCCTATCAAGTTAAAATTTCAATCTAATTTGTGTGTGACACAAGACACGTTTTCAGTTGGATTGAGAGAGCATCGAGGAAAGTGGTTACACATGACTTACCTTCTTGTGATTTATATTCTAAGAGAAATTAGGTTTATCTATCATGATTTTTTGTAGCATAGACATAAACATTAGCAATACCAAACGATTTGGAAGACCACAAGGATATTGTTATTATTTTAGAATCAAAATTTTCGTCTAAAAAAAAAATAAGGCCTGTTGATATCAAGTTATTTTGTTTTTAAAAGTGAATTTATTAGTGATTTTTTTAAAATTTTGTCACTAAATTTTTATTTATTTATTTATTTATTCGGAATGATCTTTTAGAAGTGACACATGTGACATAAGAAATTGATCTCCTAATAATTTTTGTAATATTCTTTTTAAAGATGAAAATGCTTAATTTTTTAAATCTTTAGTATGAAAACCATAAGCAAAACGAATTGGGTAAAGAAGCAATGATTAGATCAATTATCTACAAACAAAATTTATTTTAAAAGTATAGGTTTTTTAAAATTAAAAAAAATCAATAAGAGAGTAATTACAAATATGAAAAATATTACACTATCAAACAAACTACTAGTTCATTATAGTTAGAAAGTCATTAAAATCTACCAAAGTTCAAGCCTAACAACTACTCAACTACCACCTACATACAACCTCCATCATGGGAGAGAAATAAATACCAGCACAAGATATCAAACTCTTCTCCATAAGAGTTAAACTCGAAATCTCACAGCACTAAAAAGTGTTACAAAATCATTAGAACAAATGCCCGAATGAGTTTAATGTGGAACACATGGTCTACAAATTTGATTGACCCTTTGAACAAAAATATGTACCAAAAACCTTCCCCACAAATTTGATTTGAGTAAGCAAGGTTTGGTTTTAAAAGGTAACATTTTAACTAATCATCCTATACATATTAGTTACTTTCTATGCATTTACACTCCATGAAGGGGCTAAAAATGAAATGGGTCAGGTCCAAACCTTGGGCCGACCCAATCCACTGAAGCCCGAATCCAAGTGGGCCGGATGAGTATATGGGCAAACCAATTAAGCCCAACTTCATGATCAACAGTCCACCCAAGTCCTCAAGCAGTTGGGTCTAACTCGCAGTGGAAAGGCTAGTCCAACCGTGATGCTGGGCTAGGCCAAGCTGCGAGACTGAATCTACGGGCCGAACAGAAAATAGGCCGAGCCCATGCAAAGTTACATAAATGGATAAGCCCATCTCCATGAGTGATCCTGTAAAAGGCCGATACAGGGCATACTGATGCCGAGCTGAGGTATATCAGTACCGAACTGAGGAAACCTCGCAAGGAAACGTGAAAACTGTGAACGTGTGCATGTGCAGGTTGCCACCTCAGCTGGTCCCCTACACCTAGAATCACGGAAGTTGTTGAACCAAAGGAATGTGGTTTGTTATCAGCATGACTACAATGAGTATATGCATTCAATGACAACTACCAGGTGGTCCCCCCTCTTGAGCAATGCTAAAAGGACACCTGGCAGCATCCAAGCTCCATGAACCCACCTTGAGAAACAAGCAAGGAACACTATATATACAACACGAACTTCACATCGAAGGTAACGAAGAAGACTAAACTGAACTATTCTAAGCAAAATCACGCATAGAGAGAGATTCAACTCTCTATACACTTCTTCTCCGATCACTAATTCCCACACCGGAGGGGTTATCCGGCCAACCCCGGTCGAGCAGCTCTAACGATGCTTCTTGTTGCAGGAACCTCAGTTCCTGGATAGTCCAACCGAGTGTGGAGCCCCGATCCACTTTCATCTAGTGCGAAATTCAGTATGCACAATTGGTGCGGTGAGCATGGACGCTTCATCTCTGAGCTCTGCACTCAGTTCCGGCGATGGGGATTGAGGACATTTCGCCGTCAACACATACTCCACAGACGGAGAAAACAAAGGACAAAGGTTTGGCACTCCCAATAGTCTCAGACGAACAAACTAGAAACAATAATCGAACCCCTGAATTCGTCGAGCACCGATTACCCTTCGCTAGAGGTTTTTCTCATCACTTTCTTCTGGAAAAGGATTATAGAGATCGCATCATAGACTCCATGGGGATGGAGATACAGGAGTTGAAAGCCCAACTTAAGAGGGTACTGGGTGATCCAACAGAAAAGAAGACGGAAGCGGAGCCCTCTCGTTTGCGACGGAGGAGCTCATCCAGAGAGCCACCAGTGAAGAAGTTCCCCAGGAATGAATCTAGACAACAAAGCCAGCCTATCCCAGTACAGAGTGAGGCGGCAAGCAGTCACACCCGTGGGTCACGCCGGAAAAGGGCCAAGAGGCAGAAGACCGTTAGTCAACAGACCGAATATCCTCCTTAGAACCTTTTGTACTTGGTTGATTGGCAATAGGCAGAATGAACAACATCGGGATCATCTGGACCGTACTGTCCACCAGAGGGAACACCGAACGCTGGACAGGCTCATCTCTTCGCCATTCTCCCCGGAGATCGAGACTATGAGACCTCCAAAGAAATTCACCCCGCCAAAGTTCACTTCATACGATGGGAAGTCAGACCCGCTGACACATATTAGCCACTATAGACAGATGATGTCCCTATGGAACCGAGACGAGGCACTGATGTGTAAAGTCTTCCCATCCAGCTTGGGAGAAATCAGACTTCAATGGTTCGATCGTCTCCCCACTGGATCGATCCATGGCTGGAAGTAGCTCCCAGAAGAGTTCCTAGCCAGGTTCGTCTCTAACGCTAAGATCCCGAAGGAGCCGGATACACTGTTCGGCCTCTGAAAGGAGCAGGAGGAAACGCTGCGTAATTATGCTAGGAGGTACTGGAAAGAATACAATGACCTGGAGGAAAATGTGTGCAGTGAACAGATGGTCGTCATGTCCTTCAAACATGGTCTGCGCCCTGAACATAAGCTGAGACAATCACTTATCAAGTGCCCGGCCACAGCTTTGAAAGATTTGCGTGCTAGGATTGAGTAGTACGTATGCCTCGAAGACAATCAGATCCCCATCAAGGTAGCGTCAGCAGAACAAACAGCTTGGCACAAGAAGAGATCAGACTGAGGAGAACACTGAGGGATTGCAGTGAATGAAGTGGATAAGTCCAAATCCCATGAAGCCGTTGTAACTGTATTCAAAGAGCCAATCTATCGAATCCTGGAAAAGATCAAGAGAGAGCCCTTCTTCGTTTGACTGCCGAAAATGTTGGGAGATCCAGCTCGGCGTAATCAGAAGCTCAGATGCACCTACCACCAAGACAGGGGGCACATGACTCAGAACTGCAGGGCACTAAAGCAACACTTGGAAGACCTGGTGGCAGCTGGACACCTAAGGGATTACATTGATCAGGATAAGGAAGTGACCGAACTGGGAAACCCACCGCCAGAACCAAACATTGTACGTCCACCTCGGTTGATAATAGATGTGATCCACGGGACAGCGACTCAGGAGTCTGAGGAGGCACTGAAGGAAAAGATCGCTAAGGCTGCGCAAATTCAGCGGGTCATGTCAGTGGAGCCTGCATCAAAAAAGGTACGTACAGTACCTAAATTCCCCTTGTGCACTGTTTCATTTACTAGCAAAGATTTAGAAGGCATACAGCACCCACATACTGATGCATTAATTATAACTGTGGAAATTAGGAAACAATTTGATGTAAAACGAGTGTTGGTAGATCAAGGTAGTGCAGCAGATATATTGTATTATGATTTGTTCAGAAAGCTTGGTCTCTCTGAGCAACACCTCACCCCAGCGGCAGCCCTGTTGGTCAGTTTCAATTCATAGCCAGAATGGCCGCTTGGTAGAATAGTGTTGCTAGTCGTAGCGGGAACAAAAACCCTCCAGATAGAGTTCTTGGTTATTAATACACCATCCCCTTACAACACCATACTTAGCTGTCCGTGGATTCATCAAATGGAGGCAGTCCCTTCAACCTACCACCAGCTCATCCGTTTCCCAACAGAACATGGAGTGGAGTAGATCTCAGGGGATCAAGTTGCGTCCAAACATTGCTTCATGGTAGCATTAAAGGCAAAGCAGCTCTACAATCGGGTACAGACGGTAGAAGTAGCCGAACAGCCAGTCTTGGAAGATGTAGGGGGAACCCCAGGGGAAAAGATGGTAGAGGATTTGGACAAAGTCTTGGTAAAAGGGGATGACCCAGAAAAGTACTTCCTTATCGGTACCTCGCCAGGCGCTAATGAGAAACTTCAGCTGCTGGAACTACTGAGGGAGAATATGGAGGTATTCGCGTGGTCAGCATATGATATTCCAGGGTTGGACCCAGAATTTGCTTGCCACAAGCTCAACATCAACCCTTGAACTCGGCCCATTGTGTAGAAAAGTCGGAGATCGTCAGTCAAGCACACTGAAGCAGTAATTGCCGAAGTCGAAAAACTCCTGGCTTCAGGAGCAATCAGGGAAGTTCAGTACCCGCAATGGCTGTCTAACACAGTTGTAGTCAAGAAAAAGAACGGAAAATGGAGAGTATGTGTTGACTTCACTTGCTTGAACAAAGCCTGCCCTAAAGATAGCTTTCCGCTGCCTCGCATTGATCAACTAGTAGACTCAACAGCAGGGCATGAGCGCATGAGCATTTTGGACGCTTATAGCGGCTATCATCAAATACCACTGTTCAGTCCGGATTAAGAAAAGACAGCGTTTATCACTCCAAGGGGAACTTACTGCTACAAAGTAATGCCATTCAGCCTCAAGAACGCTGAGGCAACCTACCAGCGAATGATTACACGGATGTTCAAGGACCAATTGGGAAAAACCATGGAAGCATATATAAACGATATGGTAGTAAAAAGCAAGCTCGCTGCAAACCATCTCACGGCCTTGAGAGAAGTTTTTGGCATCCTGAAAAACCACCAGCTTCACCTCAATGCCTCGAAATGTGCTTTCGAGGTAGGAACAGGGAAGTTCTTGGGATACATGGTCACTCACAGAGGAATTGAAACGAATCCGGATCAGATCAGAATGATTCGAGATCTTGAAGTACCAACAAAGGCTAAAGAGCTACAGAAGCTAGCCGGAATGGAAACCGCATTGAATCGATTTATTAGCAAATCCTCAGATCGGATGAAGCCCTTCTTCCAGCTTTTAAGGAAAAAGGCAGCATTTGAATGGAATAATGAATGTACCGAAGCACTGCAAAGCCTCAAAAGATACCTCAGTACACCTCCTCTGCTGTCCACTCCAGAACAAGGAGAGGAGTTGTACCTCTATCTAGCATTCTCAGATCATGCCGTGAGCGCAGCATTAATTCGAGAAGTTGACAAGGAACAGAGGCCTGTCTATTATGTCAGCAAGACTTTACTAGATGCCGAGACACGGTATCTACCATTGGAAAAGTTAGCATATGCGCTGCTTATCGCCTCAAGAAAGCTGCAACATTACTTCCAGGGGCATACCATTAACGTCCTCACTGAATTCCCCCTCAGATCTGTATTCAACCAAGCCAATTTCTCTGGCCGAACAGCAAAGTGGGCGGTAGAACTTGGTGAGTTTGACATTCGGTATCAACCCAGGACAGCGATCAAAGCCCAGGTTTTAGCGGATTTTGTCACAGAATTTGCTCCAACCCAGAGTACCTAACCGGGGGATCCGAGTTCGGCACAAGTGCCATGCACTACCGAACAAAGAAAACCCTACGCTTCGGAAGCATGGAAACTCTTTATTGGAAACATCTGGCAGCTCTATGTTGATGGATCGTCCAATAACCGAGGCTCAGGGGCAGGAGTAGTACTTATTTCACCAGAAGGGTTCATCTGGGAATAAGCTCTCAGGCTCGGTTGGAAGGCTTTAAACAACGAGGCCGAGTACGAAACGTTATTGGCTGGCTTGCGTAGCACCGAACACTTCAGTGCAGAATAACTTCTTGTTTTCAGCGATTCACAACTAGTGGTAAACCAGCTTTCTGGGGTCTATGAAACACGAGATGAAAGAATGGCTATGTACGCAGGCAAGGCCAAGGACCTACTCAGAAAATTTCAATCCATATGGGTGGAACGAATCAGTCGGGACAAAAATAGCCACGCTGATGCCCTGGCATGCCTCGGCTCGTCAGTAAATACAAAGGATGCCAGAAAAGTTTGGGTCGAGTTTGTACCAGAACCAAGCATTGCATCTCTAGTCCTCTGTAACAACTTATAGCCAAGCTGGATGGATCCGATATTTGCTTTTTTGAAATTTGGTACACTCCCCGAAGACAAAAAGGAAGCCAACAAGGTCAGACACAAGTCAGCTCGGTTCTGGATCTCACCATCTGGGAAGCTTTATAGACGCTCCTATCTTGGCCCCTACCTCCTATGTGTACATCCAAATCTTGTCGAGAATGTTCTCTATGAAATTCACGATGGGATTTGTGGATGCCACGTTGGCGGAAGGTCACTGGCACACCGAGCCCTCACTCACGGGTACTGGTGGCCACAAATGCAACAAGATGCGCAGCGGTACGTACAGAAGTGCGATAAATGTCAGAGGTTTGCTCCACTCATTCATCAACCGGCCAAAACTCTCACTCCACTCACCAGCCCATGGCCCTTTGCGCCATGGGGATTGGATATTGTCGGACCATTGGCGCGAGGCACTGGGAACAGGTGATTCTTCATTGCCGCAACCGACTATTTCACTAAGTGGGTTAAAGTTGAGGCGCTGGCAAGTATCAAAGAGGTAGACACGAAGCGATTTGTTTTGAAGAATGTGGTGGTGCGTTTCGACATTCTACGGGTACTAATTGCGAACAATGGAACACAGTTCGATGGTAAGGTCTTCAGAAAGTTTTGTGCCAACCTCAGAATCGAGTATAGGAACTCTTCTCCAGGGTACCCGTAGAGTAATGGACAGGCAGAAGCGTCAAACAAAACCATCATCAACGGAGTAAAGAAGGGGCTTGAACATTCAAAAGGCAAATGGGTTGAAGAGTTACCTCACGTATTATGGGCCTACGGAACCACAACACGGCGTTCAACGGGGGAAACACCTTACTCCCTAACTTATGGAATGGAGGCCATCATCCCACTTGAAGTAGGACTCCCAACCCTTCGGTCTGAATTATTTGAAAGCTCCAGTAACGAGGAAGCTATTGCACAAGCACTGGATATGGCAGAGGGCCGAAGAGAAGCAGCACTGATCAGACTTGAGGCGTATCAGCAGCAGCTCATCAGAAGTTTCAATCAAAAAGTTTTCCCAAGGCAATTTGCGCCTGGAGAACTGGTTTTGAGGAAGGTTATGGATCACAAACGGGTGCCTGGCGAGGGCAAACTTGGGCCTAACTGGGAAGGTCCCTACAAAGTCACAATCGTTGTTGGAAACGGAGCTTACTACCTAGAGGATCTGAATGGTAGAGCTATACCTAGGCCCTGGAACGTACCAAATCTCAAGAAATACTATCAGTAGAATTATCCCCCAACTTCTCTATCAGAATATAAAGGCATTTTTCTGTTGACCAATGCAAATACTTCCCCACTTTTTTCAAATTTATCAAATTCTTGTAATTAGCTTTGATGTTTATCAAACGGAATTAGCTTTGGTTCTTACCAAACGGAATTAGCTTTGGTCCTTACCGAACGGAATTAGCTTTGATGTTTATCAAACGGAATTAGCTTTGGTTCTTACCAAATGGAATTAGCTTTGATGTTCATCAAAAGGAATTAGCTTTGGTCCTCACCAAACGGAATTAGCTTTGATGTTTATCAAACATAATTAACTTTGGTCTTTGCCCAAATGGACTTAGTTTCAGAATGAATGGACGGAATATAAATTTGGTTAGCACTCAAACATGCTAAGTGGTATTGCTTTGTGGAATAATGTTTGGCAACTGAATTGGACTTTAGCCAAGTGGAATTACTTGGTGGAAACCACACTAACATATCTTAAGTAAACATCTTTGCATCTACAGAACCTCTTAAGTATCAACACGTCAACACTTCAGTATTGACTAAAACAAATAGAGTTGGAACAAGCATGCCCAGGTACTATCAGGAGTAAGCTTCCAGCATTAGTCTTACTCAACTCCAGCTGGGGGCAAACAATTGTTTTTTTCAAACCAACCTGGACCTGAGTAAGACACCTTTTCATGCCTTCATCGCATTCAAATACACCTATGCTATCTAAGTTGAAGCAGACTCAAGCAGTTCCACACAAGGGCACAATCTTCAGTACCGATCTTACTTAGCTCCAGGTGGGGCCAAACAATTGTTTTCTTTCAAAACCAACCTAGACCTAAGTAAGACCCACTTATGAACCCAAGCACCGCCATACCACATATCCGTTAGCCACACCGAGCACAAGTTCGTCCCCGAGGTCCCAACAGTGCTCGGTCGAGGGCAAACAGTACAGTTCCACACCGAGAATCAGTTCGGCCCTGAGGCCCCAACAACGCTCGACCGGGGGCAAGCAGTATAGAATCAGACAGAACATCCATTTAAAGGCAATACAGAACCAGACCGAGCATCTATTCGGCCCCGAGGTCCCAACAGTGCTCGGCCGGGGACAGGCAGTACAGAAAACATTCAAACATAGAAGCCAAACAGTATCAGATTGCAAGTTCAAAAAGAAAATTCTATCATCCAACAAAAGGCACAGATGGCCTCATAACTAGCAGTAAAAAAAAGAAAAGAGAAAAAAAAAATTGTCTTGACAAGTGCAGAAAGAAAGCTCGTCATGGAGACCGAGCCATAGTACACCAAAGCAAAAAAGTTCAAATCCTTTCAACATCAATTTTCATCAACAGTGGGCAACTCAGGAGCAGCATCAACAATTTTGCCCAGGCCATCTGC